TAGGGCTCGGATTTTAAAGCAAATGCTTCTATTTATATATTTAAGATAGAAATCTAATTTTTATACATAAATTCGTTTCACGTTAATCTGATTCGAAATAAACGAATTTATTTTTGCTTTTTTTTGCTTTTTTTAGTATAAATGCTTTTTTTGCTTTTTTATTGCTTTTTTCAGTTATTCAAGCTGTGGAATTTTTATTTGTTGTTATGCTATGAAAATAAAATAAAAGTGTAAAGTAAAAGTTAAATGAAGCTCATGGAGATATTGCAACTGCTATTTCTGGTAAACAAAATCGTGTTCTTTTGAAAAACAAAGGCTGGAAACAATTACTGGACATCAATACTATACTGTGTGGCGTTTCATCAGATGAAATTAATTATCATGCTTTTTTTTTGCTTTTTTTAAAAATAAATATGCTTCATTTTTGCTTTTTTTAAACAATTTTATGCTTTTTTTGTTATTTATTATGCTTTAAAATCCGAGCCCTATTAATAACTAATAATATCTAGATTGTTACTTTTGTATTCCTATTCTAAAGCAAACATTTTTTTGGAGTAATGCGGTACATAAAAATCAAATTTTGGACGAGTAGTCTATGAATTATAAATATTTAAATTTCAGATGAGCTGAGTGAAATGGTTCATGTATAGGTACCCTTCAAAATGTTGATCCACGACTTCGCTTACCTAAACTTTTAGTATATAAAAGGTATAACTATTAAAGTACTTGTCCAAAGTTTGATTTTATAGATCAAAATACAACGAATTAAATTCTACTCCGGAAAAGGAAATGTATGCTGTAATATAAAAGAGTTAAAAACTCAAGCAATTATAACAATAAAAATAGTAAAAATAAAATTGTTTTCCCAAAAATGTTGTTTTATAACGACTTTAAATTGAAATATTTTCTAAAACGTTAGTGAAATATCGAGTACGTTAAATGGATCAACCCGTGTAATATGGTGTATAGAAACATTATATATTAAGATAGCAAAACAGAAAAAAAACCAATGACAATTTGAAATATCTGATTCCAACAAAACATAGAGAAAATTATCACCTTTCAAAAAATGTATTACTTACGAGTTAAAACTTTAAAATACGAACACTTTGTTTTTGATGCAAATAGATGACTGGCATTACGTAATCTTAACTCTTAAGGGTGAATATAATATCATAAGAAATTTTGTTACGTAACTATCATACGACATTGTTTGAGTTATTTCAATTTAGTTCAATAATATATGGAACCATATTATAATTAAAAACCATTGATTTTGTTGTTTGTATTATATGGCAAAAAGGAAAATGCTCACCTTAAACGGTAAACTTTCGATTGCTTGTGGAAGTCTGTTCATCATTAACATGACAACTAATAAGATGATGACTGACAAACAAATTATGAAGCTCAGTATTAACCGGGCGGAAGCTTGATGAGAGTCCCAATTTACTACGCAAATGCAAAATATACATGCAGTGACGGCTGTAACATATTTCAACCGATTAAAATCAATATACGAGTTGGTACAAAATGTGATTAGTATATCATACTACCATATAAAACAAATGCATAAATCTGCAATAAAATAATGTATCAACAAAAAAAAAAAAATAGCAAAGCGTTTTCAAATTTCAAGACGATACAAATACATAATAATATTGTGGTTGAATTTTGTTTTTTTTAATTATTTAATCACAACATACTGAAAATTGTTATCAATACTCTAGACACGTATTGGGTGTCCCTGTTCGTATCATTTGTGTTCGATACATTTAACCACATTGAAATCGTATACACTTCAGGGCCGTCTGAATCCGGATTGTACAAATTAGTATTTCTATACCTGAAAATAACACATTTCATATTACAATAAATTTAAATATTAAAATTAAACAGAAAAGTCTTACAATAGGTAATAATCCATAATTATGTTAATTAAATAAAAAAACTCGTTTAGGTGATACCCCAGTTTTATTTCGAACGCGTCAGGAATATTATGATATAATAAATAATAAAAAACACCTGAGGATCAGAACGCAGATGCAAACGATCATGTAAGATTGGAGCGTGCCGATGGACGCCATGTCGACGAGCTGCTCGAGATTGAATACGGTCGACAACAGTCCTGCAGAGAAACAATTAAGATATTGTATAAGGTAATATAAATACATCAACATTATTATTATAACATAGGTAATTCTTAATTCATAGTAAGTAAGACCAGGATAATTATACAAGAACAATTATTTTTTTAGTGCTCTAGGACAATGCTTCCCAAATACCTACATAATTCATTTCATGTAAAGCGATAGGTAACGTCTTTATGTATCTTTAGCGATTATCGGACATGGTCTTACCGTTACTCAAACAAATGAACAACTAAATTAGTCAATTGAACATATATCGTGATCGCATTTGTTTCCGGTACCAGTATAATATGATTATTGTTATTTGGTTATTTTTTAAAGAGTTTTCGATAATTTTCAGGACACTTAAATTCGAGACCTACTCATAACTATATCAAAATAAACCGATTGCGTGTTGGACGTTCCCCTCATACCTGCACAGACGCCACAGATGATCGCGGCTATGAACGGCGTTTTGGTCTTCTCGTTGATCGTCGCCAAAAAACTGAACAACAGTCCATCGCTGGCCATGGCGTACAGGATTCGTGGTATTGGGAATAAACAACCTATCAATCTTCAAAAAGACGATGACAACCCGTTACATTTATTATATTATTATATTAGCATAGGATGCGTATTTGCAGTCGTATAAATATTGAAAAAAAAAACTATATAACCGCTCACGTGGTGAAAAGCGCGAATACCGCACCGCCGGTGACCAAGTATTTGAGTACAGGCATTCCCAGGTTTTCGTAAATAACCGGTAACGGTGCGTTCGGATCCTAAAAAAACAATGTTCACCACTGTTATAACGTCACTGCAAATCGACAATGTTCAGCGATCACTATACTGAAGTCTAGCGTTACCATACGTCTCGTCGAAAACGGAATTGTCCGTTTTTTGACTATCATGTCCACTTGTCCCGACAAACTTCGAACGAAAAGCTTTTTTCACGTTTTTAGAGTAGATAGTCCCATTTTAATCCCTTCACCTCCATATTATAATTTAACTTCTAGATATGTGAGTAAAATAAAAACCTCTAAGTGAAAAAAAACAATATTTTTACTGTTGTGTATTGAATTATAATTGAAATCAAAGTTAATAGCTGTAACTTATAAACAACAGTTTTTGTGTAACGAGTGACGATGAACGATTGTAGGCGGCAATCACGATACGTCATGTCCTTTACTGACGTATTGCAAAGTTATATTATGAGCCCCCATAACGAGATTGGCATTTACCACATATTATAACGGGCGAACGTATCTCCAAAATATAAAATTACTATCATTTTTGAAGGTTTACTAATTTAGAGCTGAGCAAAAATTAATCAATTATGTGTCCCCCATTTCTTATAGAATATAAATATGGTTACCATATTTTATAATTATTAAACTTTTAAATATAATAGTGTATAAGTACTTGATCATAATACGGCCACATCAGCGTCAACACCGACGCTACGCTCGAGTACGCGACGGTGACGTTGAACAGCGTCAAGACGATTGCCAAAGGGATGGTCTTCTTGGGGTTTTTCGTTTCTTCGCCTATATAATAAAACAATATTCGAGTATATAAATACTTTTATCAAAGATTTTTTACAAGCGTTCATTATAAACACTGTGGACAGTACTAAATTATATTTATTTACTCATGTATATAGGTATGAAATAAAATCACTCTGCCTTTGTACTTATATAAGTATAATTATAGTACCTACCTGAAAACTAAGAGATAGGCACTGGTTGATACAAAACGTAATAGTTCTACAACCCTTTTTAAATTGTTTAATTTATAAAATTATTTTACATACCAAGGTAGTAAGTTACCTACTGTAGATTGGATTAGATACTTACGCATCAAAAATAAATCAAATATATTTTTTTAAATGTATTGTTCTTACTCACCTAATAATACATACTCGTGTTGTACTTCAGGGCAGGTTACGTAGATTTTAATGCAAAAAATAAAATAGTTTTCGATTGATAGTTATATATTCTATTGAAATAGTTCAAAATAAAAATTGCATGTAAAACATTTCACACTCGTAAACGTAATTAAGTATTATGAGTATATACATGCTCATTTATATGGACATGTTTTGTTCGCGACAGAGATTCATTGTGTTATTAATTTATTTTTTATGACTAATGTATCATAATATGTACATACCTAGGAAAGGACATTTATCATACTATTTTGTATGAAAAAAATGACACCAACAAATAATGCTTACCAGTTGAAGCGATTGAATCGAAACCGATAAATCCATAGAAACACCTCGCGGCTCCTGCGACCATTCCGGTCCAACCAAAAGGCAAGAACCCGCCATTGCCACCATTTACTCCAGGCGGGATATCGCTTTTATCGATGAACCAATTCGATAAATTCGCTACAACCAAACGACTAGTTAACTTTTTTCCACGCTTATAAGGTTGGAAGACATTAAATAATATGCTAAGAGTAACATAGAACGTTAGGTATTGCGATTATATAATTTGAAAATATATAATACTATGGAAAATTAATAGTTATCGATAAGAACAGTTATTACTAATAAATAATAACTAAAAATAATTTGTTAATATTTTTTGTTTTTTGGTACAAAAAATTTTTTTATTGCAATTATAAATTGCAATTTTGGATTTTTTCACAGCAATAATGCAATCAACTTTATAACATTTTTAGTGCAACAACATCTGAGCCCTAGTTATTAGGGATATTATAATATTATTGGTATCGCTGTGCTGTTATTTCTTCTGGTTGTAATCGTAAGTCTTTTTTTATTAAAATCATTTTTCATTTTTGAGAGTAACCACTTTCCTAATAAATTTTTTCCGAACACTACACTCTTAGAAGTTTCGAGATAATATAAGATTCCATTAATTTAAGCCTGTTCTAAGATTAACTTATTTGTTTTAATTTATTTTATGGTATTTTTTTTTTATTATTATCTACCACTCCACTTGTCACAATAATGGTCTAATGCATTATACGAGGCAAAAGTAAAATCTAATCGAGGAATAAACATAATCATATTGACATATTGTAATTATTAAATTTTCAAAAAGTATTTAAAAGTATTTAAACTAATAAGTATAAACAGTAAAACATGATATGATAAGTACACACATACACCTAACATATCGAAGAAATTTAATACCTACCTAATATTTCTAACGTTGATATTTTGTTTGTTTAATATACAGTGACTGGTGCTATACATTTTTAATATTAATAATAATATTTAAAATACAAATAACAGATAAAATAAATTCAACTATGGTTCCCTTTTTAAGAGTTAGTGCTAAAAATGTAGATCGTTATAACACAGTATTTAAAAATATATATATATTTAAATGTAAAATAGTATAAACTATAGCATATTCACAGAACTAAAAATAAATGTAAATCATATAATATAATAAAACAGTTATTTAAAACAGTTTTTTCACTGGAAGGGTATAAGATAAAGTTCAGGTGATGATATGCATCTTAAACTTATTAAAAGTTGTAAATATTTCATATTTAATTCAAAAAATTTGCTAAGTTTTATCAGTAAAAATTATTATTATTATTATTATTAACGCATATATTTGTTACTTGAACTCTACAGTTAAGTTATAAGTATACGAATTATGAATAGTACACGAGTAACACACACGTACCCTGAAAGAAACATTATAGTATCTAAAAGCTTATAAAATTTAGTATGGCTTTAACAATTGGATGATTTTACACAATGATAATAGTTCATAACATAATAATATGAAAAAAATACAATTCTAATGAATGTGTGTAACGTTAGTCAATTGATTACTACACATTCTAACATAATATAATAATAATAATGTTAAGTGGTTGTATTAATAAAAATTATTAAACATCGATATTATTATGGTGTAGTATATTATTTAAAAGACAAATAAAAACAAAGCGGTGGGGAATGCGAAAGAATTTTAATTTGAAAATTGACTAGATACTCAGTTTTATGGAGTGTAGTTCCAAATAGAAAATAAATAGGTATAACTTTTAGTTTACTTTACCGACGATCCGGGAAAACCCATTACACTGCAGAGTTGTGATGAAATACATTTCACAATAAATTATAATCATGTGCAATGACTATTGCAGCACACATAGGTATTATAATAATAATAATAATTATTATTATTTTTGTTGTAGAAGATAGAATTATTATGAGTAATACATTTCGGTTTTGTAATCAAATATATGTTTGATTAAAGAAGAACAAATGCAAGAGGACACTCAACAAGAGTATGTTCTACACAAAAATACAAGCCTGGGCCAGTTAATGATAATTTTTAACTGAGTTAAGTTGATTGAAAACATTTTAAAAAGTTTAAAGTTAACAGTTAACCTATTTTTGTATGACTCAGTTAAGTTAAAAGTTATATACAAATTTTCTATTAACTTATTAACTTAATTTAAATTATTGTTATTTTAAAGTATCTATATAAATAACTAGTAATATGGTATCAAATAATAAAAATCATAAATATTATTGAACACAGAAAATAACCAATAGCTTTTCTATACCTAGAATTAAATTATTAGATGCTGATGAATAGAATATTAGGTAGTAGGTACGAAAAGAATACAAAACACAGAAATAAATACAACCTTTTGATTTATTAATACATTATACATTTTTTAAATTATTAAATAAAAATAAGATGGTATTAAGGAGTGTACTTGATTTTAAACTCTAAATACTTTTTCAGGAAACTAAAACTATAAAAAATCTCTGAGTCTCTAATTAGTGTGGACTGAATGTGTTGTGAAAATTAAAAATTGTATAATTTAGTATGCAATTTAATCAAAAAAATAAACGTACTTCACTGGACACCGATAATCACATATTCTACATTCAATATTGTATACCTTGCGTGCTAAGAGAGTCGAGAACGAAAAGTGAACCCACATAGGCTATGACTATTTTGTCTAATGACAATATTGACTGTTTATAAATATAAACATTTGAAATATAAAATATATATATGAGCAAAACCCAATTGGTTTTTAATTTTAAAATAGCTTATTTATGGCGAAAATATTATATAATATGTTCTTGAGAATTGTACATTTGTGATTACTGATTTTTACCTAAATGACTAATCAAAATAATAATAATATAATATCATATTAGGTACTTATTAGTTATTAGTATTTATTTATTATTATTATTGTTATTATTACAATATCCCAGTAAACCGCAGTATGGTGTAATATACCATACTGCGGTATACTTTTATATCATATACGATACACCTTTACCAACATGGCTATATATTATGTATTTAATTAAGTTATTTTGTTTGTAGATTTGAGATTTCTGGTTGATGGAACAGGAAATAAATTTAACTATATTTTGAATTTCCTATTCTAGTAAATAGTTATGTAATAT